CTCGAAGATGCGCTGCTTTGCCTTCTCCACATTCTGCCGGCGGCCACTTATCTCAAAGACCGGGTCCTCTCCGTTTACAGGCGTTTTGATGTGCGTCTCCGTTTCCGTGCGAATCTGGCGGATCTTGGTGCCTGTGTTGTGGAAGCAGAGAATGTTAGAATGCAGTAGCAGGTAGCAAACAGGCATGATGCAACTTACCTTGCTTGCCGACAATGTACGACACGTGAGCCGAGCTTCGCACTTGAACCTGTTCAGTGTACTGAGCGGTACTATTGACTTTGCCGTTTGGGCTATCAGAAGCAGTCTTGGCCACAAGTCCCTGGTCAGCGGTGGGCAGTTTGGGCTCGGAAGCAAGCAGAGGAACCTTGGGAAGTGAAGAACCAATGGGCAGTTGAAAGTTGGGCTGGCTGACATTGTTGTTATTGTTGATGATAATGTTTTTGTCGTGGTTTAAAAGCAGATCAGAGTGTTGATCGCGAAAGGAGCAAAACAGTGATCCAATGTCGATGGAGGAGAGTAAAGAAGAGTCGGTTGTTGGATTAGCAGTAGGCACAGCGGAGGCAGAGCCATTTCGAGTTTCAGCTTCTCTAAGACTGGAAAAGTTGCTCCAACTTGACGTACCACTCAGAAGACTTGCCAGATCATTGCTGCTGTTGCTGCGGCTGCTGCTGACGCTCTCGGGGCCACTGAGGTCGGGACCATTCTCAGTAAAAGCCGCAAAGAGGTTGCCCGTTTCTGACCAAGGATTCCAGCTGACCATTGTTTGGGAAATTGAAAAAGAGATTGAGAAAGTGAGAGGCTGTGAAGACTGGTTAGACACCTTTTAAAAGACCTATGGCAGACAACTTGTTTTTGGTTGTGCACTGATTTTGAGTCAGAAACTATTCAAACTTCATCAACTCAAGTTCACTTCGATTAAAAGCTGTAATCAGTAAACTCATGTGTCATCGCCTTGCATACTCATAAGACACTTTTTAGCAGTTTTATTTTGGTGAAACAACAAAAAAAGAAAAACAGTTAGTTTTGTACTTGAAACAGATTGAGCAGATTGAAACTGAGAACTGTGGACAAAATGATGAATGTGTTATTGCACAAAAAAAGAAAAACAGTTAGTTTTGTACTTGAAACAGATTGAGCAGATTGAAACTGAGAACTGTGGACAAAATGATGAATGTGTTATTGCACAAAAAAAGAAAAACAGTTAGTTTTGTACTTGAAACAGATTGAGCAGATTGAAACTGAGAACTGTGGACAAAATGATGAATGTGTTATTGCACAAAAAAAGAAAAACAGTTAGTTTTGTACTTGAAACAGATTGAGCAGATTGAAACTGAGAACTGTGGACAAAATGATGAATGTGTTATTGCACAAAAAAAGAAAAAAGAAGTAAATGCAGTAAAGGAAAGGAAAGAAAAGAAANTTCATCAACTCAAGTTCACTTCGATTAAAAGCTGTAATCAGTAAACTCATGTGTCATCGCCTTGCATACTCATAAGACACTTTTTAGCAGTTTTATTTTGGTGAAACAACAAAAAAAGAAAAACAGTTAGTTTTGTACTTGAAACAGATTGAGCAGATTGAAACTGAGAACTGTGGACAAAATGATGAATGTGTTATTGCACAAAAAAAGAAAAAAGAAGTAAATGCAGTAAAGGAAAGGAAAGAAAAGAAAGGAAAAACGTAAATCATGTGTTTTGATCACAACGCATTTCATCATCATCGTCATCGGATATCTTTAGAGAATTTCCGTTTCAAATATCTTCTTGGTGACTGCAGCTTCATTTGATTGGGGTCCTCCTCCTCCTGCTGATGCTACCGTTCCACCGGCTGACCCATTCTGACGACCAGAACTGCCTGCCTTTGCACCTGTGCTGCCTGTGCCGCTGTTCGGATTATTGGCCAGATTTTTCAGTGATCCGTGCACCGTCGAACTGACTGGAACTCTGCCCACTCTGGACATCTGAACGTTGCCCAGTGATACGTTACCACCACCAGCACCAGCACTCCCAACACCTCCTCCAGCAGCACCTGCAGATGCAGCGGCAATGCTCATGGTGGCCGCCTTGGCCGCCAGGTTGCTCTCCGAGCCGGTCTTCTTGAGATCATTGAGGAAACCACGTGGAATTTGCCCCCTGCTGAGCTGTTGGAGGCGTGTGTACTGCTCCTGAAGTTGGCGTTGCTTTCGCAGCAGCTCCTGGTGGCGCTGCTCGAGCAGCTCTTGGCGTGACTGGGCGAAACGTTTCTCCATTAGTGCGGCGGTGGCGGCGGCAGTGTTGCCGCACTTGGCTGCCAGCATGGCTATGCTGTCCAGGTCGATAGTGCCTGTGGGATTGGATGTTGAACAAAAAAAGATGATTAGCAAGTGATGAAATGGTAGTGCAAAAAAGAGAGAGCACTGTAACTGACCATCTGGAATGGACGCTCCACGAGCCCGGGTCCCTGGTGGCTCTGAGTTGGCACGCAATGATGAGTACGATTTGGAGCGAGCTAAGCGGAGGAGAAAAAAGTGGGAAATTGCAAGCAAGTTAAGGTAAGCAGTCAAGTGGAAGTTGGGAGAAAACGCTACACAAACGGGGACAGACAAAACAAATCAAACAAAAACAATGAGGGAGACGGTGCCAAGTGTTTATTGAGGTGCGAAACAAAGGAAATCAACTGAACTGGGGTGAAGGAAAAAGGCATAGGGTGGTGGTAGTAATGAAGAGTGCACAAATTAAAATAAATAAAATGATAATGAAATGAAAAGTAACGAGAGGAAGTCATTCAGAGTGCCGACTGGAGGGGTTCAGACTGGGGCGGCTGCTGTTGTTCTATTTGTTGCCCTGTGCTGCGGATGTGCTGCTCATTAGGAATGCATTCCGGGGCAGCTGCAGAGCTGTCTTCAACGACACTACGGCACTCGTTTCCGTCATGCTCATTCACATCATTCACACAACTTGAGTTGTCGGGAGGGGGTGAACAGACAGGCAGGTTGCTACTGCTACTGGTGCTACTACTGGTACTAATGCTAGGGCTAGCAGTTTGATTAGCAGTGCTAGAACAACTATGGTCACCTTTGCGCACGACAGTGTCCGATTGGTTTAGCAGAAGCGCCTGCTTGGCATTGCTGTTCAGTGCCCCTCGCAGTGATGATCGCTGGTGGCTGCCGGCCGGTATTGCCGTGCTCGAGGAGGGCGAGTCCATGCTCGACTGCTTCGAGAAGGTCTGCAGCTCGTCCAGCAGGTTCTCCAGCATGTTCGACGCCGTGGCGGATGTCTTGGAGGAATCGGTGGAAGAGGGCGTCGCTGGCGTCACGTGGATCACTGTGTGTGGCTCCATCAGGTCGGCGTCGTAACTCTGTTTTGTTTTGGGTTGAAATGAGAAAAAAATGAAAAGAAAGAAAAAGAAAAATGGAACATAAACAAAAGTCGGTGCCAGGTAGTGTGTGGAACACAGTTGAAGAAGAAACACTAAAACAGCAGTAACAAAGTTGTGACAGCAAAAGAGAAAAAAAGAAAAACAGAGTAGCACGACACTCTTGGTGGCTGTGGATTCTTCGGGACAATGACTGAGCCTGTGTGTGTTTGTGTGTCGAGAAAACTGAAAGACTCTGGAAGAAAAGACCATCTAGGGTCGATCAAACCTCACGGACCTTAGTCATGAGCGAGTGTTTTGCGAAGGGGCCCGATGGATCAGTGCGACGTGTCCGACGATCACCACTTTCACCAGCACTGGCACCTCCCCGACCACCGCCTCGACCACCACTAAAGGTGCCTGCTTTCCGTCCGCCAGTGGCATCTCCATGAGCGGACGTGCCAATGCCGTCCTGGCCACCAATCGGTTCAATGTCTCCGTCAATCGACTCATCATCATCGATATTAGGTTCTTGTATGGTGGGCATCGATGCAAATCCTCGACATAAACTTAGTTCAGATTGAGAGGGTGAGAGAGTGAGAGAGAAAGAGATAGGGAGCGAGTGAAGAGAGTAAAGTAAGGGAGATTGAGAGTAGAAAGAGAAGATATGAAATTTTAGTATGATGTCTTTACACAAAGGTAGAAAGGGTCAAAGGGAAAGTTTGAGGATGAGGACGAGGTTGAAGGAGAGGCTTCAAGGGCTTAATAAAAGGGGGTGGAAAACTGGCTTATCATGAAGAGCTGCTTTTCTGCTTTTCTGAAATACTGATCTGTCACATTGAAATTTGACTATTGAAACTTCTGCTTTTATTGTATTTTCAACAAAGTACTGTTTTTTAATTTTATGATTTGAAAAGTAAACTTCTCAGAAGAAAAGAGTAAAGTCACATTGAACACTGAACATTCTACTTCATCTGCAACATTCAACAGTAGGAGCTTTAGACGATCACTAGCTCTAAGCAAACAAGTTCTGTCCTGACAAATAGGCTAGAGAAGCAAAAGAACAAAAATACGAAAGTATAGGAGATCATGCGGAAAGAGAGAAAGAAGGTAAGGAAGGGCTTGGAAGAGAAAGGGGAAAGAAGTGGAAGTAACATCACTACGGGAGAAAATAATAAGAGATACTCGATTTTGTAATTGTTCGGAATGTGCTGACGAAAGTGAGCACTGCGACGCCAGGCTTGCATTCGTTTGGCCTACAAGTAGAGTAGTACGAAAGAGAGAGTAGAGTGGAGACAAACAATGAGATTCAAGTCAAAAAAGAAAGAGAGAAAGAAAAGGGAGATAGAGCTAGGTCAAAAAGAAAACAGAACCAAGGAACGGGAAATGATAGTGAGTGGAATGAAAGCAAGAGTTTCAAAGCAAAGCAAAAGCAAAAGCAAGTGTGCCAGATGTAACAGCGAAGCGTGAAAGCGACAAGAAGTAGGCAAATCTTTGCAATCAGGTGCGGCAGGTGCTTGGGCAAAAAGCTGGTGAAAAGCAAACACACACAAAGACACTCGTGTTCAGTGGTGGTGAGGACATGCAGGAGACATTAGGCATTAGCATATGAAAACCAAATAACACACCTCCAAATAACACACAGCACAGCACACAGTTCGTAGTTAAGGTTAGTGCGTTACTTTGAAGCAGTCATCTCAAAAAAAGTTAGGAAAACTCCTTCTCTGTCAGAAGCACACACACGCACACTCTGTTGGTTTGGATCTGGTGGATCGGCAATTGGAGCGGACACACACTTACCCTGCTCATAAGACCGTCACTGCCTGCAGTGCCCACAAAGCCTTCGTCCATTGAGATTTCCTTCTTCTCCACTGCCTGCAGCAGCTGTGATGGGGAACATGTGTTGGGGTTGTTTGAGGAGCGCTGCTCTTGTACAGAGGCCAGTCTGTCAAGGGCCAAATTTGACAATTGAAGTTAAAAGTCTTTAAAAATTAACCAGCTTTTCTACTAACCTTTTCAGGGTGACCAATGTACCGGTCAGCTTTTTGCAACGCTTCAACGAATGCTCTAGTCTTTCGGGTTCCTCTTTCAAAAACCTATTAATTGAGAGTAAAAATGTTAGTAAAAACAAAAACATCTGTTTTCTTATCACTCACTTTTCCTCCCGTTCAATTTGCTGCAGCTCCTTTGCCATGATCGTCTTCAGGTGTTGCGCCAACACTGGGTAGCGTGTTTTGAGATCGGCGACCGTTTTTGATGCCCGTGACAGGGTGAGCGCCATTGACTCCACATTAGACATGTTCACCCGACACCGGCGATTGATGACGTTAGAGCGCAGCTCCTCGACGTTGGTCTCCAAATCGAGCAGGTCCTTGTCCAGCCTGATGACGTCGTCATTGTAGGAGTCTCGATCAGTGCTCACCACCAGTCGCTCCATTCGCAGTTGAATATCCGAGGTGGAAGAAAGAAAGGACAATGTGCTTTTGATTTTGTTGCACGTCTCCTTGAGAGACTCCCTGGTGGTGTTCGTTTGCTGCAGGGCGAATCGCTTCAGTGCCCGCACTTCATTGCGCAGATCCCGAGCTCGGCGGCGAATTTGCTTCAGCTGAGTGGCTGAATCGCTGTTCAGAGTAGAGCTGATGTCGCTTCGATAGCCGGAAATCAGTGATGGCGGCTTTGGAGGCGGAGGAGGCTTAGATCCTGCAGTAGGGCAATCAAACAAGTATGATTAGATCTTCAAATCTCTGTCTTCCTTCTCAAATCGTACCTGGTTTTGATGAACCGAGCGCTTTGCTGACTACATTAGTTAGACTGGCAATCTGCCTTTCCATTTCCTGCATTCGCACGCGAGCCTCCTCGTCGATGGGCGCCACTCCTGGAGGTGGTGGCGGCCTAGAGGCGTACACCGCCGCAGGATGCGGATAGACACCGGCTGCTGCGGCGGCGGCAGCGGCGGCCATACCAGCGGCCATCTCCGCGTCAAACGGCCTAGAGTTGGGGTAACCGGAGAAGGAAGATCGTGCCTGCGCCTGTCCGGCATGCAGTGCCATCATGGCCGCACTGGGTCGGTGTTCAGGCGACGACAGGTACCCGGAGAAGTCGGCGGGATTGGCGCCCGCTGGATAGGGAATCGGCCGAGCGCCCATTCGGTCCGGCGATGGGTAGTGACCGGCCACCGAGTAGGGTCGATCAGGAAGGGGTCTACTCTGGTGGTACTGCTGCGCCAGGTGCTGGTGGACCGAAGCAGAGGAGGGCGCCATTGAACCGGGTGGCAGAGCAGGAGGTGGTCGCGGGTGATGGCCCTGTATCACAATCAGTCCTGCCGCCTGAGGAGGAGGTGGCCCAGGACTGGGGACAAAGGAACGCGTCGGCTTAGGAGGTGTTTGCTGGTTGCCAGCAGGAATGCCTGGAGAGAAAGTAAAACAGAGAGTTAGTTTTGGATATCTCAGGCTGATTGAGTGATCATCACACTACCGAAAGGACTGTTCAGTGCAGTAATGGAGGTGGGAGACATTAGGTGAGCGCCACGAGGCAAAGTTTGAGAGTAACCTACAAATAGTTTGGATAATAGGTAGTGGTGAGTGAATGAAGTAGGATATAGGAAAGGAATAGTAAAAACTAGTGCACAACGAACCTGGATAGGCCTTGTTGCGAGTCGGCGGCTGAGGGGGCGGCTGTCCAGGCAGTGTCCCGCTGGAAATGAAACCGGGCCTGATGCCCAGCGTGGCCGAGCGGTACTGCGGCGGCAGCATAATCGTCCCGTAGTACTGCGACTGTCCCATCGGTCCATTGGGACCGACCAGCATGTGTGGCTGTGGCTGGTTGACCTGCATGGGCGGCGGTGGCGGCGGAAAGCGCTTTCGATGGACGTGCTGCGACTGAAACTCCGAGTCAAACTCCGGCTCGGAGAAGTAGCCGTAGTTTTCGCCCGGCTCCGGTGGGACGCTCTGGTTTTGAAATGCAATGGGCAGCCCACCGCCGCCTGGCTGAGGCCCGTTGACGCCCTGCTCGTAGATACGCAGAATGACGCGGTCTTTGACGTCACGCAGGTCCTCCAGCTCGTAGAACATGTCCTTTGATGCGTCGTGAATGTAGATACGAACTGACGGGTGGTCGAGGTACTCCATGGTTAGCTGGCGAGGAAATGACCGAACAAAGAGCGCTTTTACTGTGTCAATTGAGGTGATCTCATTGGGCAGCAGTGCTCGTTTGGTTTCAGAGCGAAACTGCAGAAAGACTAGGCCAAGTGATCGATCCTGTGACTTGGAGGGCGTGCGAACGATGGGCAGCGAGGAGCGGACCTTGTTGCCTCGACGGAATCCAGTGGCAGAGGTTTCAATCTCCGACATGATGCCTGGATCGTCGTCAAAAAGGCTGGCCTGATTGGACTGCATTGCGTAGAAGTTTCGATCAAGTGGAGTTGTGCTTGAGGGACGATGAGGGACTGCCGCTCCTATGCTGGCAAACTGCTGTTGTTGTTGCTGTTGCTGCTGGGACACTCCTTTGGAAGGTCGGCTCGGTGCTGAATCAGGCTGATTTGACGACACATTATCGGATTGCTTTCCAGCTGGTTGCTTTTGTGATGAGCGATTGTTACGACTCTGCAAAAGTATAAAAAGTTTGTGTGTTATTTAAAGTTGGTTTTAGTTTCAATAAAAAAACTAGGACTCAGCACCTGAAGATCATTTTGATTGATAATACTGTACTGGGGGTATTTGCTTTGGAGGTGCTGTTTAATGACAAGCATCATAGGGTTACTCGGTTTGAGAGAGCTTTGGGAGGATTCACTACTACTGGAAAAGCTTTTGATTGACAGAGACGATGAGGACATCGGACAAGTGGACGACTGGTCGGCACTAGAGAGGGGAGATGCCGGCGGAGTATTGGAGGCAATACTGCCTGGCTGTTGAGCAGGCAAAATGTGCTCGTAAATTGAGTTTTGAGAGGTAAAAGATACTACATCGTAAGTAGAGGCCACTGAAGAGTATAGGGGTTCACTTGTTGAGATTTGGGCCTGCTGAGAAAGGGGTAAAGAGGACGGTCTGTCAACCTCCCCTGTCAACGGCTGATTGCCATTCACACTGGCCTGACGAGACATGGCGGAGAGAAGTGCCAAGTTGGAGTAAATGCCACTGGAGAGAAATCGGAACATCTCGGCATCTGTCGAGACGTCTTCGGTTTTCATTTTCTTGAGATCAGTGTTGTTTGCTGCCGTCTCAGGCAGTGCTGAGTAAACTTCAGCTTCACCCGTCAGCGGTGTTTGCTCTTTTTTGCCGCTTTCTCCCGGTTGTTCAGTCTTAATCTCACTTAAATTGCTTTCCTTGCAATCTGTTTCAGGCGTTTGGTTGCTCGCTAATTTGGTAGTTTTCAACGCAGCAGTGACATCTGAGTTTCGATAATTGATTTCCAGAGGATTTTCTGGTACGCGGTCTGTGTTATTAACGCCGTTCTTCTTGATGCTGCCGCTATAATTAGATTCCTTTTGCACTTTGCCATTTTGAGACTGATTAACAATTGGAAATGCTTCCGAAGTGGGCTCACGTTTTGGACTGACAGCACTGCTGCCGCTGCTGTTGAGCTTGCCAGAGAAGGAAGAGCTGGAGCGTCGGCGAAAGCTGTTTCTTAGCGTCCCAAAGAGACCGGTGCCGGATGAGCTGGTGCTGTTGTTTGTCGACTTCTTGCCCATTTTTGCTGTTTTCCAATATCAACTTTCAGAAAATCAAATCACAGGAAAGAAGACTGGCTAGCAAATGATGATGATGATGATAATTGGACAACTCTAAACCGACCGCCAGCACAACAACAACAACTCTGATTCGATGCGAACTGGCTGAGCGAGGGAAAATCTCGACTGACAGGTGTATTGTCTGCGATTGTGCCTGTGTGACTCTGTCTGTTGTTCCCTCAGGTGTAACAACACACTGCGCTCACGTGCCACAGTCACAGCCAGTGCAATCCCATTGTGTGCGCGCGGGCTAAGCAAAGAGGCAAGAGAAAGGGGGAGAGAAAGACAATCGATGGTGCACTTTGGATAATCGCCATGGGACAGTGCCGGCGCGGACAGGGAAGACTATCCACTCTCCTGCCTGGTCCCCAGACCACAGACTTCTGTCGCTGGTATTTTTAGTGCGCCATAACGCTAATGGACGTCCATTGAATTGCTAGTGCCGGTCGTTAAATTGTGATTACCGACCAAATGTAATTGAAAGAGAAAAAAGTACTAAGCAGTACAAGTGCATTTTGTTTTGCCTTGTAACTGATCAGAGCAAATGTGCTGCAATTAAGCGTGTTCAGCAGCAGCCAAATGATCATTGTGTGTCTTTTTGTGTAAGTGTGTGTGGTTTACCTTGCGCTTGATGGGCGAGAGAAGTACCTCGTAGAGAAGGTGCCTCGGTGAACTCTTTGGTTTGGCTGATTTTCCGCTGCCCCCTCCTGATTTGCTNTTTTGCCTTGTAACTGATCAGAGCAAATGTGCTGCAATTAAGCGTGTTCAGCAGCAGCCAAATGATCATTGTGTGTCTTTTTGTGTAAGTGTGTGTGGTTTACCTTGCGCTTGATGGGCGAGAGAAGTACCTCGTAGAGAAGGTGCCTCGGTGAACTCTTTGGTTTGGCTGATTTTCCGGCCGTCTGCTCACTGTCGGAGCGGCACTCATCCGCCAGGCTGGAGTCCGGACTGCCGTTCAGTGCGCTCTGTGGCTTCAGATGGCGAGAGCTGCTTGAAGCGCCAGAGCCAGCGCCAACACCAGCCGCCGCTGCTTCGGCATTAGTGCNCGGCCGTCTGCTCACTGTCGGAGCGGCACTCATCCGCCAGGCTGGAGTCCGGACTGCCGTTCAGTGCGCTCTGTGGCTTCAGATGGCGAGAGCTGCTTGAAGCGCCAGAGCCAGCGCCAACACCAGCCGCCGCTGCTTCGGCATTAGTGCTAGAGCTGCTGCTGCCACTTGGGGCGCCGCCAGACTTTGCCTTGATCTTGTTAGTGGCCAACAAATTAGTGGCTTGCGGCGTCGGCCGGACGGCAAAGCTGGCACTGCTGTTACTGCTGCTGCTGTTCTGATCAAAGTCCGCCGCGGACATCAAGTGCCCATTAGCATAGACGTGCACTGGATACGCCACCAGTTGGGGCCGTTGCTGCGGCTGCGGCTGTTGTTGTTGTTGTTGAGAATGCTGAGACTGTTGTGGTGAAGAGTGGTGGTGATGCACCGAAGGGACAGGTGCAGTCCCATAGCCGATGATATTAGCTCTCGAGTCAATTCTCACATCCTTCCGAAGTGAAGAGTAGTACTGTTGTTGTTGCTGCTGATGAAGTTGTTGTTGCTGTTGTTGTTGCTGCTGCTGCTGCTGATGTTGATGATTCTGTTGTTGGNGGCTTGCGGCGTCGGCCGGACGACAAAGCTGGCACTGCTGTTACTGCTGCTGCTGTTCTGATCAAAGTCCGCCGCGGACATCAAGTGCCCATTAGCATAGACGTGCACTGGATACGCCACCAGTTGGGGCCGTTGCTGCGGCTGCGGCTGCGGCTGTTGTTGTTGTTGAGAATGCTGGGACTGTTGTGGTGAAGAGTGGTGGTGATGCACCGAAGGGACAGGTGCAGTCCCATAGCCGATGATATTAGCTCTCGAGTCAATTCTCACATCCTTCCGAAGTGAAGAGTAGTACTGTTGTTGTTGCTGCTGATGAAGTTGTTGTTGCTGTTGTTGTTGCTGCTGCTGCTGCTGATGTTGATGATTCTGTTGTTGGTGTTGTTGCTGTTGCTGCTGGAATTGATGGTGCTGAAGTTGCTGCAGATGTTGTTGTGTCTGTTGCTGATGTTGTAAATGGCGCTGATGGTGTTGATGATGCTGTAATGTAGCTGGCAGCAGGTCCGGTTGTTCTGCTCTGTTGGCCATTTGCTGCCCAGTTGGCGCCGTCTGAGACATCGAGGACGTGCCAGAGGAGAGTCGTGTGGCGTTAGACATGTTCGACAGTGTGGAAACGATGGAAAAGGACACTGACGAGGGTGAGGACGCACATGAAGGTACAGCAGTGGTGGCAGCAAGGCTCGGTGGGTAAGGGCTCATACTGCTTGCAGGGCTCCAGCAATGCAATGAAATGAAATGAAGCCAAAGTATTCAAGTGTAAAAAAGTTCAAAGTTGATACTCTGGATCATTAGCACACAGTTGAGCAGGTAAAGGAGTGAAGCACCGTGAGCGAGCACTCAAACGGTATGTGTTTCAAGCACTTTTTTGTGCAGCCACAAAAGTGCTGCTCAGTAATGAAGAAAAGTTTACTGTTTGAGCGTTGCATTGGTGTCATTTGCACTAGTCGATAAAGCAGCCAAAAGACAAATGCAACTGAACTGAAGAAGAGCACTGTTCAACTGCTTAAAAACCGCTTCGAGCTTGTAAGCAAAATAAAATGGAAGCACAATAAGGAAGAAGCACTGCAGAAGGCATCTGCAGAATGACTAGCAAATGAACAACAGCACACAAATACAGAGAGAAACTGAAAGCGAGTGTTTAGATAACAATAATAAGGAGAAGAAGAATAATGAAGAAAGAAAGACAAACACAGAGAGAATCTTAAAATGAGCAGCAGCACATTCTCGTATGTGCAGCTCAAGACTTGAGACGATTTAGAGATCAAAACAATGGTTAGCAGCGGCAATGCGAGAATGTGCTCACCAGTTCGGCAAACATAGACAGTGCTAGCTAGTGCTGGCGAACGGTGCCGATGGACCCAGTATGTACTGTTCACTGTATAGAGCAGCAGCAGAAACGGCAGCCGGGGAAGCCGCCGTCAGCGCTGGCGAATGGCAGCAAAAGTCAGTGCACTGCAGCACCACTGGGCACTACCCGAGAGAGCGAAAGAAAGAGAGTGTGGTGGTAGTCTATCTCCGGGAAGAGACGGAGGCCAGAGACTACTGCAACAACAACTGCTACAACAACTGCTACTGCTGCCCGAATATGCCGGTCGGTTGGTGTCAGTGGCGTTGGCGCCAACTGGCGCTCTGACGGCGAGTAATTTGGAACGGTCACACTGTGACTAGTAGTGCTGGTTGTGCCGCTTGCCGCATCTTTCCGTGAATCCCGGCACAGAGTCGCCACCGACAGCAGCAGAGGCCCGAACAGCTCAGTGTTACAGTGTGTTCGTGTCAATGAGAGAGCGACATTGTCTTCCTCTTCTTCTTCTTTCTCACCACTGCAACTCTCTGCTTTTCTGGTAATGTTGGTGTGCTAGGCTAGGAAGCAGTACAGTGCAGCAGCCGGCACACTGACGCAAGAGCCTGTTTTATATGGTGGTGCTCGGGCAAGCAAATCTCATGCTCTAGAGCAGTCTGTAGTTTGGGCGAGAGAGCAAGGCACAGACCAATTAATNCTTCTTTCTCACCACTGCAACTCTCTGCTTTTCTGGTAATGTTGGTGTGCTAGGCTAGGAAGCAGTACAGTGCAGCAGCCGGCACACTGACGCAAGAGCCTGTTTTATATGGTGGTGCTCTGGCAAGCAAATCTCATGCTCTAGAGCAGTCTGTAGTCTGGGCGAGAGAGCAAGGCACAGACCAATTAAGTGTGCAAAGGGGTGATGCGGCAGACAATAGAGCGAAATGGTAGCTCACGGCTATCTATCGGTTTTATGGGAAAAGCTATTTCAGGAAAAGACGTGTCATTGTCTTACACGGAATTTAAAATCTAAAGTTAGTAATACTGAATGTTTTACACCTCATTAGCCGGTTTTAAATTCTTTTAAAGTATAGACAATCTTGCGATTTAAAATGCAAATGACAGTTCTCCAACCACGCCACTGTTTTAATTTACAAAGGAAATGCTGACACCAAAGTGAACACTTAAAGCTTTGCATAAAAGTGCCTTCTTTTCTCTTTTTTCTTGCACATACACAATGAGCCTCTGATGCATTTGCAATTGAAACATATCCCGGTGATTACTGTTTTTAAGTGCTACACATTCCAAAGAGTCACGTGGAAGCATTACCCTAAGCACATTTCAGCTGATGCTCACACAAGCTGTCGTAAACTGCCAACAGACAAATGCGGCAAGAAAGTAAAAGTCATTAAAAATGAGGTCAACTTATTTAGATGCAAATCACTGCTCGGCACTTGTCTTATTTAGTATTTGACAGTACTACAATGACAGTACTTGTTTCATTTGCTGTTTGGCAGCAGTGAAAACAATGGACCCCAAAGCATAAGAAAGGGTAGAACATTAAAAATGCCAATAAAAACGCACCAGAAGATGGTTGTTGCCTTGGCACTGAACAGCACCGTGGCAGTCATCTGCTTCACTGTCCACCCGAGAAAGTGTCGGTTCAGCGCGAGAAAACCCATTTTGCCGGTACGCTTGTTCGTGCCAATGTACAGACCGAGGAGATATACTTGCTCATGACTGCCGCTGCTTTTGCTGTACACAGTCTGGCGAATGTACAGCAGTGCAGCTCCAGTGGGCAGTCTGGCCTGACCAGTCAAGTTGTGCTGGTAGTCATCACACTGGTAGTAAAAGTGGCCCTCCTCATTGAGTGAACACTTGCCAAGTGGCAAGTTAATTTGCTCCCCCAGTGTTTGCACTCTCCAGTGGTCGGCAACGAGCAGATTTGGAGCAGTGTCTGCATGCTGCTGCTGCTGCTGTCTACTGCCTGCCTCGTCATGTTTGCTGTTTGCTGGCAGTGTCTGAAGCAGTGAACAATTGGCGGAAAGATA